TGAAGTGATTTTCTTTTTAAAAAAAAATGTGGTGAGGGGGGAGTGAGTTTAATAAGTTATTGATACTCCCTACATTTCAAGAAAGCAATAAATTTAGAGCCCGTAAGTTCATGAATTGTACACATCTGTACAGCTTCAGCAAATAAAGATTGTTACCATAGCAACGGCCACATCGTATGGAACATGCTTGTGAAAAATCAGAGCTTCATATTAAGGGAATCCGTCTGCTTCCTCCCCCCCCCCCCCCCCCGACTGTACGGAACATGAAAATTTGTTTCATTTTTCTATGCTGTGTTTTTAGCATTTGTGTGTATCTTTAATTATAGCTCTTGCTTGGGCTCCTTTGTTCTAAATTACACTCTTAGCATTTGAATTTTGCATTGTGTAATTTTAAAATCAAAAGCATATAATCACACGGCTTTAATGATTATGGGGAAAAATGCGGGCAGCCCAGCTACAATCTTGTTCTCTTGCGAGGGGAGTTCTGGCTGAGCATTCTCTGTGAAGAGCATCCCTTTCTTCTATTACTCATATGATTCAAAGCTTTCATTTCCAACTCCTTTCTGGTTCTTGTGGCCTACTCTGTTCTCTCTGTCAAAACATAATGGGACTTCAGTGGGGAGAATCAAGCCAACGTATTCTCCGTAAATACGCACGTCCCTTAAGGAAACAGGTACCATCAAAAGAAGTAGTAAGAAATAATCACTGATCTACGGTGTTTTAAAATTTCCTCTCTAATATGGATTGGTTTCTGTCTCTTGTTGTTCTTCTTTTGTAAAGTCCACGTTGTGAAAAGCCGAGATGGTTTGGCTAGGTAACAAGGCTTGGATCTGAATTCCTCTTAATCAATCAATTCCACTTTTGTGCCTTCTGAACGTATTAGATCCTGGCATTTCTTACTAGCTTGGCTAATGAGCACGATGGCCAAGAATCCTGGATCTCTTAGACTAATAAATCTAGGAGGAAACAACTTGGTGCTTCTTCACTCCTTTATGCATCTGAAAAGCTCTAGTAGAATTGACGAGTGAGTAGATCAATACCACGTTTCCCTGAAAATAAGACAGGCTTTTATTTTCTTTTGGCCCCCAAAATAAGCGCTTGGGCTTATTTTCAGGGAGGTCTTATTGTTTTTGAGGTGCAGGAGGTGGCAAGC